ACTATTATATTATTCTCGCGTACACGAGATATCGATCGAGACAAAGAAGAAGAAACGAAAGAAATGGTCGATGACATCCTGCGAGTATAAGCTCCTCTTCCACTCCGTGCGTGTGTGTGTGCATTTATCCGCACATTTATGTGGAGTATATAAAACTAGACAATGAGGAAAAATGAAGAGGATCTCTCTCTCTCCTTCTCGCGGTAGCTTCTTCTCTACTGAATTCCGCGCTCCAAAGCCAACGTAAAGTATATACAGTGGTATATAACGTAGCACACACACATATACAGACATGTGCACTATACACACCACCGGTCCGACGAGCTTATGCATTATGTATGCATTTCGCGCTCGCTGCCGCCGCCACCAGTCCGCAGCGCTCGTTGTTCTATGCGCGCGGAGCACTATAAGACCGCAAGTCCAAGGTCCAAGTGAGTGAGAAAGTATATAATATACACGCGTGTATATATATTTCTGCGGGGCTGTGTATGTGAGAGTGTGAGTACAGCGATGCGTCGGAGTCACGTTGCACTGTAACAGCTCTCCTCTGCAGCCTTAGCACAGGCCACAGCCATAAAGATGGTCGAAATAATTATCTGATTCTAGGGAAAACGATCGACTCGAGTCACGATGTCCGAGCTTTTTTTTTCATCCTTCCTTCTTGTTTTTTAATTATAGACATTTTCGTCGGATGTATATTGCGTTACATTGACAAATTTTTGTTCTAAGAAATCATCAAAAAACTTTACAAGGGACCCAGGACCCACAAAAAATTCGATCGCTGCTCGGGTTCTTCTTCCGTGTTTTGGGATTTTAAAGTTTGTACGGGGCAGTGCCGGTGGTGGCGTAGGGCCGCGATAAACAAGGCTCGAGCGCGTCGGTGTATTTTCGTTTTTGTTTGTTATTTTTTTTCCGTGTACCAGGAGGTGGATAATATCGTCGGCGAAATTTAAGGCAGGTACCAACAACACGATGATTATCCTCGTGATGCGTAACTCCTCCCGAATCATCGTCGTTGTCATGTTTTTTTCCGTAGCTTATGCACACTGCTCGCCCAAAAAAAAGGAGAGGATGATGCTCAGAGCTTCGACGATGATAATGATGATGGGCATTAAAGACAAGGAGATTGATCGTACCGTATTATACACGTGTATGCATGGTGTATACGTACGCGCGCTAAGGTTCGATGTACTTTGCCTTCGTACTTTATTGCCTTTACTTCGTGCTGTTTTGTTGTTCTTCTCTCTCTCCACCCATTTTTACTCCTGCGCATCAGAGATTTCTCCATTATAAGCACGGGTCAATTAAATATATCGTTCGCCTACGCTTAAAAAATTCGGTCGATCTAATATTCCGCGCATAATTTTCAAAAATTCCGCTCCAAAACTTATTCCGCATTTGTTATAAAGCTGAGAAAAGTTCTTCTTCTGCCCACGCGCTCGTGATCGTGATCGTCAAAAATAAGCAAAAAAGAAGTGCATTTCCCGCGTTCCGTTTGGCTTACTCTCGCGTACATACACTTAAAAACTAGTTGTAGTACGCCGTGCTGCAACGCGCGCGTGTGTGTGTATGTGTGCCTAACGAAGCGATCTGCATGAAGTCCGACGTTATTACTCGCTTATTTTCTTGTGCGTTTATATAGCCGCGATGATTTCATTTTTAAAAAGAGACGCGCGCACGCGTGCGTGCGCTGAGGGCGAAAAAGGAGCGAGAGGAAAGAAAGGAGTAACAAATAAAAAGCAAATGACAACGGAGAAAAAGGACGATGAAGAAACACCAAGAACAAATGACGACGACGACGATGTATTATATATATCGCCTCGCGCTTTCGGTAGCCACGCTCCAGGTACTCGATAATATGCGTGAAACTTCGTCTCGGGTGGTCGCCGCCGCTGCCGCTTCTGCTGCTGCTGCTGCTGCTGCTGAGGTACACGATGTATACACCACGCATACATACATATAATACAGCACACGTATACGCATTACACACTCGTACACATACATCACCGACCCTGCAATTATGCGAAGCTGACCGGTTTTTTAAATTTCTTTTTGATTATATATACGCGAGTCCGCTAGCAGTGTGTGTGTGTGTGTGTGCACTGCGCGCTGCCGTCCCGCGTTTATACGTTTTAACTTACTACGGCGCGTTATACGACGAGCGACCCTGTGTCAACTCTGCGCACTAAGCTCATTTTTTTACTCTCCCTTTTTTCGGTTTTTTTTTTCATTTTTTCGTTCCAACGACGAGCCGAAAAATAAAAACAATTGTGGTTCTTTCGAGGATTCTCTATGGCATTCTTAATATTATGAACCATGAGACGAGACGAGAGAGAGAGAGAGAGAGAGAGAGAGAGAGAGAGACGCACCCGCGGCGCACACGGGGTAGCGGTGTTATTTAGCAATCGTAAATATTTTACAGTGCAGGCGGCAACTCGTGCGGTTCTGCGGTTCTCCGCGCCTATATATGTGTGTGTGTGCAAGCGTAATGATGTTTTTTCTCGGTAAAAATAGCGCGACGAAGGATGATGATGCTGCTGCTGCTGCTGCTGCTGCGGAGCGGGCGAGCGCTAGAATGACTAAATTGTGGGCAATCAATGGGTGGTTGCGGGTGATAATGTAGGCCAGCGCGAAACGTGTGCCCGTGAACTAGGTATGGCTTTTTTTCGCACAATAACGTCTTTCGACGCTTTTGAAACGACGTACCGCGCGTCATTGCGAGGATTCCCAAGATATGCGTCGCCTACCTCTGCTCTTTAACAGCTCTTTAAAAAATTCGCGTATTAGTCGGAAATTTCTGCAACGTACGGTACGACTACCTACTACTGCTGCTAAAGGCAAAAGGGCTGTAGCGTACACCTTTTTTTGCTCGTGGCCTGCGTGCCATTATACGCGCGCCGAGCGCGATAAAGAAAACCGAAACAGCCGCGATGAAAAGCAAAATTGTACACAGGCGCATTTACGCGCGGGCAGGCCGCAGCCGCGTTGGAATATCCACAAATAGAAGATACAGTAATATACGGCGGTATAATTGCAAAAATGAAGCTCTTAAAGGAAGCGAGACAAAATATTAAGTGCAAGCGTTAAATCCTTATCTCGCCGAGTAAATATTCTCTTTTAACGTATACATTCAATTTACTCTATCTCTCTCTTTCTCTCTGTCTCTTGCGCTGAGAACATATCTATATACGCGTATAAGCTATAACGTGGACTGCGTTTAGTCAAGAGAAAGAGAGAGAGAGAGAAAAGGAGCGAATTAAAAAAATAAACAAGACAGTGCACTGCAGCCCTGAGAGAGAGAGACCAAGCGAGAGCATAGGCCAACGAGAGAAGCGAAGAATTCATTATCGAGCTCATTATTCCAGCAAGTAGTTGAATCCTCGCGATGTGCGCGCTGCTGCACTGCACTGCACAGCTCTATACGGCAGCATAGCTGCAGTCACGGTATCTTCTTCGATTTTCAGCGTTTCCTCCAGCGGCTGCTGCAGCAGCTGCTGCTGCTTGTTGGCCAGTCTACATATACACACATACATAAATATATATCTGTATATGGGCGCAAAAGAGAGAACAACGAGAAAAAGACTTTATGAACCCTCGGCCATCGCGTAGCTGCGACGGCGGCCGCGAGTCTCCAGCATATATATGCAGTGAGGCGCGCGCGATTCGTTAGGAATTCGTGTCCGGGGGCAGTTGCAATTTGCATTGCGCCTCTCTCTCTCTCTCTCTCTCTCTCTCTCACTTTATGCATACGCTATATATAAAGGAGCTCTATCTCTTGGCTCTCTCTCTCTCGTAGAACGCGGTAATGCTTTTAGACTGCATTAGATGCAATAGTCTCCAGGCCGTTCAGGTGTATATGTGCCCTGTGCCAGCGCATATGCTTCCTTTTACTTTCTTAGATCGCAGCATTTCGCGCGCGAACACACTCAAACACGCACACACGTATACACAATATGCCGAGCGCGCGTCTATGATATAAACGGATATTTCAAGATTTTCTCGCAAAACTGCGGCTTTGGTTGACTCGATGTATGTATAATGCCTGAGACTGTTTATTGTTCACATTTGATGACGCCGGTGCTTATGAAAATAAAAACACATCTCACCATACGCTCAGCATAATAGGGTATTTGCATGAAAAAAAAATCATTGAAATAATTATGTTCAAAACAATAAGTGTTGAAAAACGTGCAAAAAAGATAAAAAATGACTGTTTTGGGCGATTTTACCTATTTTTGGCTTTTTTTGACGTTTTTGCACGTTTTTCGACACATATTGTTGTTTACAATGTGTTATACTTTAAGTTACACTTGAGTTACATTTGAAGTACGTAGAATGCCTCGTTTAGCTGAAAATGACCCGATTTGAGGCATTTTGCTTACACAAATGGTACCTTTACAAGGCTTTTACCTATTTAAATTACTCGTTAAACCTACTTCGCGGTGGTGTAAGTTTGATTTAACGCGTATCATTTATATGGATAATTGGTTACGGTGATGATGTCACGTCAATTGTTAAATCAGTTAAAGCACGTGTGCATGCAGTCCACTTGAATACGTCACAGTTTTGAGTGACTTTATTTATAACGATAGCAGCTGCAATCTGTAGACAAGGTATGTATCGCTTAACATTACAGTGATCTAAAATTGATTTTTTTTAAACAATGTGACGTTGAATTATTATTTCTCATGTATATTCTCGATTGGAAACTGACTCGAAACTGACTTCTATAAACAGATAAACAAATAAATAACGAAACTTAAGTGTTAAATTTACTATTGTCCACAGACCAATTATGAAACAATCATGATAATTATTTTTTTGTTTTAACTGAATAGCGCGACAATAATATTTTTATCTTCAAGACCTCAAAGTAAAGAAATTTTAATTCAACAAAATTTTTTACAATAAATATTAAAATTTTTTATTTTTGCACGAATTTTAATTTCACGCTTATCTTTGGGTCTTGATTTTGAAAGTAAGTTCACGCGTACGATTCACGGGGCACGTTGTGGTTCTGGGCTGTAAATAAGACGAAAAGTAAATACAATCTTCATTGTGAAAGGAACGCTCGACCAAGCCTTGCGGAAAATTGAATATTTGAACAGCAACACCAAACTCAATCAAAGTAAGCTAAAAATAAATATATTCGTTAATAGTTTGAGGGTGAATGGTGCGGGAATTTTTATCGCGTCAATCCAAAACAATCCATCAAAAAATAGGACGATTTTTATTCCAAAACGGGGCCTGTAAAGTCGTTACAATTAATTTTATCCCATAACTTCGATGAGACTCAGTAAATTTTCTTTTCTTTCGACTTACGCTATAAATTTTCTTTATATGTATGTATCCCACTTCGCGCATGAGCTACTTATAATTAATGTTCTTCAACCACTTCGATTAGACTCCGTTGACTTTATTATATCCGACTCGCGCGTTATCCTCAGTCTATATTGTCTCTTATGTACCTTAGTAAATTGCGTGCTTAGGGAACGTAAAGCTAGAAAGCCTCAGAGCACCTTTAATTATCAACTGAAGCAAATCTAAGGTGTTTAAATTCTAGAGGTTCCTCGTGGCTAATCGAAAATGTGAAGGTGAAAATATTTGATCAAACCTCATCGGATGAAGGAATTATGAGGGGACAAACTGGTGTTAAACGTTTAAATTTAAAAATAGCCGTGTAAATCGAAATAGTTGACATTTTCTTTTTATGATAGTAAAATATTTTCATTCTACATCTGATTGACCAAGAACCACTTCTGCCCAAGCTCTGAAATCCCAATTACATTAGGGTCAAAATAATACTTTTTTACAAAACCGTGCGCACGTATGTCACCGATCTTGACGCGCTTTTGGTATGTTATAGTACATGGTAAAAAGGTCCCAAAAAAAAATTTTTAGACCCCCTCCCCCCTCCTACCCCCCACTTCCGGTATAAACGTCCATTTTCGATCTATATTTTTTCTGAGGACATGAAGCAAGTAAAAAATCTGAAAAAATTCATAAAAATACTTTTCCACAATCCAAACAACCTTGAATTTTTTCAGATTTTTTGAGTGCTTCAGGCCTTCAGATAAAATCATTGAAAATTTCAAAAATCGAGATACGGCGGTATGAGCCGATGTAGTACTCGGAAATTTTTTCAGTTATTTTTCGCATTAAAAAACATAACCTCAATTTTTTTCAGATTTTTTCAGATTACCTAACGCACCTTTTGAAGCCAAAAACCGATTTTTTTGACGAAAATAATTTTTTTAGGACAGTACGGAGCCTCGAAAAATCTGAAAAAAATTTTTTCTTGTTTTTTTCATCAAAATACGTAATCTCAAATTTTTTCAGATTTTTTAATTGAAGGCGATAGCTTCTAGGGCCGAAAAATGCTATTTTTAACAAAAAATGGTTCCTAGAACCCGATGGTTCCGGTGAAAAAATTTGAAAATATTTTTTTTGAATTCCTTGTCAAATTTTAATAAATTTTGACCGTTTCAAAAGTTCGATTGAAGCTTCCTAGCTCATTTTAGAGCAGGACAAAGATTAGTGCAAAATATCTGAAGACGTTTCTGAAGACATTAAGGAATGATAAAACTCGTTTGATGCTCTAAAATGAGCTAGGAAGCTTCAATCGAACTTTTGAAACGGTCAAAATTTATTAAAATTTGACAAGGAATTCAAAAAAAATATTTTCAAATTTTTTCACCGGAACCATCGGGTTCTAGGAACCATTTTTTGTTAAAAATAGCATTTTTCGGCCCTAGAAGCTATCGCCTTCAATTAAAAAATCTGAAAAAATTTGAGATTACGTATTTTGATGAAAAAAACAAGAAAAAATTTTTTTCAGATTTTTCGAGGCTCCGTACTGTCCTAAAAAAATTATTTTCGTCAAAAAAATCGGTTTTTGGCTTCAAAAGGTGCGTTAGGTAATCTGAAAAAATCTGAAAAAAATTGAGGTTATGTTTTTTAATGCGAAAAATAACTGAAAAAATTTCCGAGTACTACATCGGCTCATACCGCCGTATCTCGATTTTTGAAATTTTCAATGATTTTATCTGAAGGCCTGAAGCACTCAAAAAATCTGAAAAAATTCAAGGTTGTTTGGATTGTGGAAAAGTATTTTTATGAATTTTTTCAGATTTTTTACTTGCTTCATGTCCTCAGAAAAAATATAGATCGAAAATGGACGTTTATACCGGAAGTGGGGGGTAGGAGGGGGGAGGGGGTCTAAAATTTTGTTTTTGGGACCTTTTTACCATGTACTATAACATACCAAAAGCGCGTCAAGATCGGTGACATACGTGCGCACGGTTTTGTAAAAAAGTATTATTTTGACCCATTAATTTTTTCATAATACTAAATATTGCAATTGGATTTACTTCCCAGACGATTCTGACGTGAGTTTTTCATCAATTTTGATTTAAGGGAATCTTTAGAAAAATTCCTTCATCCACTTGAGCGGAACAGAATTTGGAAAAAAATTGTTGCTTCTTTTCCAAGAGCTTAAATATAGCATTTAGTGATTGATGAAAAACTTACGTCAGAATCGTATGGGAAGTAAATCCAATTGCAATATTTAGTATTATGAAAAAATTAATGTAATTGGGATTTCAGAGCTTGGGCAGAAGTTGTTCTTGGTCAATCAGGTGTAGAATGAACATATTTTACTATCATAAAAAAAAAATTTCAAATACATCAATTCATACGACTATTCTTGAATTTCAGCTTTTAACACCAGTCTGTCGCCTTAATCTAAAGTTTTCTAAGAAAGTTATAGATATTCTTTCTCGATTACGATCGTGTTTATAGGAAATTTAATAGAACCGCGATCAATTTTTGAAATTTTGGATCTGGAAATTTATTTTATCTTATATTCCAATGTTAAACATGGATCGTTGTGTCATATGATGAAATAAGCTCTGCCTTCATAGTACCCACCAACATCTCCATTTTTCAATAACACGCGGTTAGAAAATTATAATTTATGAATTCCTTTTCTGAATCAATGGAATAAATGTAAAGCATTTGACTAATATAGTTTTTAATTTTATTGCAGATGACAATCATCCGCTTAAAAGGTAATGATGAAAAAATTTTTGAAGTGGAGTTAGCAATCGCTAAGCGCTCATTAGTGATACACGAAATGATTGAAAGTTTAGGCGATGAAGACTTGGAAGAGCCTCTTGTTCTATCCGAAGTTAAGTCTGATATTTTAGAAATGGTTATTAAATTCGCTACTTATCATAAAAATGACCCAATGCCAGATAAAGACAACAAAAAAGACAAAGAAGAGAATCCAAAGAGAAGACAATTGAACAGGAGAAAAGGATTAGATCAAATATCGGAATGGGATCAAATATCGAAATGGGATAAACAATTTCTCGAGGTACTTGAACAATATTAAGTTTAAATATTCTTATTATTGGAATCCAAGTTGAAAGTTTAAATTTAAAATTAGAACTTAAAAACGAACGAGTAAAAATTATAATTATAATGTTACAGGTTGATCTCGACACTTTATATGACCTTATCAAGGCAGCCAATTTTTTAAATATGCCAGATTTAGTAAAACTTACATGTAAGAAAGCATCAACGCTCGCTAAAGGAACAGATCCACATAAAATTCGGAGTAATCATACATTTCAAAATTAATTTTGGAGATATCAATTTTTATACCAGCTTCAGGAGCTCCACCTCTACCTCACACTGATAAAATATTTATCATATTACTTCAAACTCGCTCGGATTCTGGTCAAGAATCGAATAATTCTCACGTATATTCCAAAAAGTTTTCTCAGTAATATGGTCAAATTTTCTATCAGTGCATAGTGCACACTCTATTAAAGTACCCATTTACATATGCGGCAGACGTAACCTTAAAGCAAATTCATTCTTCTTTACTGATATGGGAAGAAAACAATATCTACAAATTTTCATGTTATCGTCACAGAGCACGTGAATTTTTTTAATTTATAAAAATATTATGAACAGTAATAAAAAATAAAGAGGTGACCGGGGCTATGAGTGCGCACGTTTCGAATCTCTGATTCTACAGCAGAAATCACAAAAAACAAAAATGATTTTAATATCAGTGATTATTTTTTTAACAGAACTTCATTAATGTGTTGAAATTTTTTAAAAATAATTTATAATATAAATGTATTTAAAAATATTAAAATGTTAATAAGACGATGCATCTATCGCCGGACATTTAATTTTTCCACTATTAATTGAGATTTTATCAGTTTACTAAACTCTTTTTAGATAGTTACAACAATATTTTAAACAAGCATTTTATAGATAATTAATTTATGCATAATTAATCCTTTTTATAGATAATTATTTTATTATGTATAAAGTGAGTGTATAAAGCGAGAAAAATTATTTTATAATTTACAAATTTTTTAGAATAAATTCTTATAGTGGCTTTTGAATTTCTCAAATTTATTTTATATCTTCAATAACTTTTAAATTTTTTATAAATTTTTCTCATATCAGATTCGTCATGGCTAATTTCCATTCTTTTTCTTTCTATTCGGATTTCTGTTTTTTTTTTCTTTGTTCCTTTAAATCGTTTTCATTTTTTAACCTTTAAACTTTTTGTTAAAACGATTACTTTATGATCAAATTTGCAAATATCATCCTCATCCGCAACAGCAACCAATGTATTCACTTGGAGACGAACTGGTAACTTGGTCACATTATTACCCAGCAACAGTAACTACTGGTGTCTACCAATGATATGATACCCCAATGGAACTGATTCTGCTGCTACTTTTTGCCGGGCATGAAGATTCCGAGCGCGACGATGTCTCTAGCTGCGCGAGCAGCGTCGACGAGAAAAGATATTACGAGAGGAAATTATCCCCGACGACGATCGACAAGAGCGACGGTTTCGTTCGAGGTAAGTGGATGAAAACAATGAGAATTAGATATTTTTATGTTGCCATTTTAATTGCTTAGAGGCTCTTCGAAAATAGGTAAGATCATAACTATTGATCCATAGAACAAACTGTATATTTGTTCTAAAACACTTTCCCGTAGATAAGCGCTCTGTAATTTCTGGCACGCGTTCAACTGTAGGCTAATATATGTAATATATGTATTTTCAGTTAATGATTTCGTGAAACGAAAAAAGCGTCTATACGTTTACGCCGCCATTGGAGCGATGTCAATCGCTATAATCGTCGCCGTAACGCTACCGAGATCGATTAGTGAATCGATCGACGAACCTTCGGATATTTAAAGATTATTTTTCATTCATTATGAAGCAAACTTCTTAATGATTTTTGAAAATAAAATTGAAATAAAATAAAAACCCAAGCAAATTATAAATTTAATTTTTTTTAAATTTATTTATTCGAGTGATATAAAAAATGGTTTGCAACATTGGTCCGCAGAGACATTTGCGATAGTATAACGATTATCAGTCTACTCACTGTACGTTTAATTTTTTCGTATTTACTTCATACTCCTCTACCAGAAGCCCCTAAAGGACTAGTCAAATGAAACATTAATAATATTATCAACATATTTTTACATAAACTTTCTTTTTTATAAGCTACTCTTATAAAATCTTTATAGTATATTTTGCAACAAGTGCGCGAAGCAGTTGACTCATCCAGGAGTTGTTTTCACCCGAGCGTAGCGAGGGTGCAAAGACTCCTGGGTGAGTCAACTTCCTCGCGGACTAGTTGCAAACGATATTTTTTAACTCTGCTTGCGTGAAACTAGGGTTATCTGACGCTTTAAGGTTAGAAAACCCGTGTTTCGCGCACGCAGTGTTAAAAAAATACTTTTGCACACTCATATTCGCAACACTTGTCAGTTTAAATTCAAACTTCAAACTAGCTCAAATTGTCGTAAAAGAGTGGATATAATTTGAAAAATGTTTTAATTTCATAGGGAAATCAATGTTTAAATGTTATAAGTGTTGAAGAAGTAAATACATTTTTATGGCTTATTAAAATCGATCGTAATTATTTATCATGTATCACACATGCGCTATACAAAAGTCAAATTTACAATTGGTTAATAGTCTCTTACATACGTTCTTGATACAACATAAATATATTATATTATATAAAAATAAATCATAACCGTTAAGATAAAATTACTAAAGATATAATCGATCTTCCTCGCTGGAAAATCGATGTCACATTCTGAATGGCTCTTCGAGGCTAATTCTTCATTGACGTCCTTTTTTATCCTTTTTCGACGAGTTTTTTTAAGACTTGTGAGCTTTTCCTTCCTTTCTGCTCTCATCGTCAGACACGGGAGTTTCTACATTCCCTTCTCTCGCTTCTACTGGCCGAGGACTTTCCTCATTCTCTTCTCCAGCTTCTACTGGCCGAGAATTTTCCACATTCTCTTCTCCAGCTTCTACTGGCCGAGAATTTTCCACATTCTCCTGGGGGCTCTGCTCGATCAGTTTCCACGTCAAATTTATAATTTTAAAGACTACCTTCATCTCTTCCTTGATGTCCTCCCTTGACGCTTGAACGTTGATTTTGTAACGGTTCTCCCCGCGCTCCTTCGAGCTGGTCTCCGCCTCGACCTCCGCATTGCACTTCTGGCAGTGAACTCGGAAGATCACGACGAGGTTGTCGACGCACCACTCAAGGACGTGTCGCAACGACAGCGGAAGCTGACAATTTTCGCACCAGAGCTTATTCGCCAGATACTCAAGATCGACGATAGTGCGGCCTTCGACGGGTGTGTAAAGAGGTTTATATTTATCCTTCACGTTCGGAGCTTCTGTGGATGTCGCGATCGCAGAAGTTGAAGCCGTCGTCGCAGAAGTCGAAGCCATCGCCGTAGAGGTCGGAGCCGCCAATGAATCTGAGTCGCTTGCCATTGACTTCGAGCAATTTCCTTGTGAAGTTGAAGAGGTATCCGATTCTGAGTCGTTTGCCATTGAGTTCGAGCCGTTCCCAATCGATTTCGAGCCTTTCCCATTCGATTTCGAGCCTTTCCCATTCGATTTCGAGCCTTTCCCATTCGATTTCGAGCCTTTCCCATTCGATTTCGAGCCTTCCCCATTCAATTTCGGAGGTTTCGGTATGTAGTCAGGGCAGTTGGCGCTCGTCGGTACAATGCAAATTGCCTTGCACTTCTGGCACTCCACATTGAAAATCCTGACCAGGAGATTGACCTCTGTGCTCTCGATGTGCTTGAGCGAGATCGGAAGGTCGCATTCGAAGCACCAGAGCCTGTCCGACAGCGTATGCAAGTCGACGATGTCGTTGGGATTATTCTGTTCGGCGATGTCGTTGGGATTATTCTGTTCGGCGATGTCGTTGGGATTATTCTGTTCGGCGATTTTTTTGCTAGATTGACCCTTCTGTTGGCACAAAAAAATAAAAATAAAGTAGAAACAAAAAAAAATCGTCTCGCCTCTGCGTTGATGTGCGCGACGTTGTACCAACCTCGTTTGACACGTCAGTTCCGTTCTGTTCGGCGATTTTTTTGCTCGATTCACCCTTCTGTTGGCCCAAAAAAATAAAAATAAAGTTAAAGCGAAAAAAATCGTCTCGCTTCTGCGGGGATGTACGTGAATTATTGGGCATGGTATTATACCAACCTCGACTTGCATGCGGGTTCGTTTTCGTTTAGCAGGGGGTCGCCTCGATATCTTGCTGTCCTGCTTGAAAACAAAAAAGAACAATAGAAACCAAAAAATAACGTCTGGCCTCTGCGGTGAAGTAGGCGAAAAAATTTGCTCCATATTTTACGAACCTTGACTGTCGTGTCCATTTCGTTCTGTTCGGTGATTTTTTCGCTCGATTCAACGTCCTGTTGGCACAAAAAAATAAAAATAAAGTTGAAGCAAAAAAAAATCGTCTCGCTTCTACGGTGATGTGCGTGAATTATTTGACACACGGTATTATACAAACCTCAACTTGTGTGAGGGTTCGTTTTCGTTTAACCGGGGGTTGCCTCGATATCTTGGCGTCCTGCTTAAAAAAAAGAAACAATAAAAACCAAAAAAAAGCGTCTCGCCTCTGCGATGATGTACGCGAAATAATTTGCTCGATATTTTACGAACCTCGACTGTCGTGTCCGTTTCGTTCTGTTCGTCGATTTTTTCGCTCGATTCAACCTCCTGTTGGCACAAAAAAATAAAAATAAAGTTGAAGCAAAAAAAATCGTCTCGCATCTGCGTTGATGGGCGTGACATTATACCAACCTCGTTTGACGCGTTAATTCCGTTCTGTACGTCGATTTTTTCGCTCGATTCAACCTCCTGTGGGCACAAAAAAATAAAAATAAAGTTGAAGCAAAAAAAAATCGTCTTGCCTCTGCGTTGATGTGCGCGAAATAATTTGCTTGATATTTTACGAACCTCGACTGTCGTGTTCGTTTCGTTCTGTTCGTCAATTTTTTCGCTCGATTTAACCTCCTGTTGGCCCAAAAAAATAAAAATAAAGTTGAAGTAAAAAAAAATCGTCTCGCCTCTACGGTGATGTGCGTGAATTATATGACACGGTATTATACCAACCTCGACTTGTGTGAGGGTTCGTTTTCGTTTAACCGGGGGTTGCCTCGATATCTTGGCGTCCTGCTTAAAAAAAAGAAACAATAAAAACCAAAAAAAGCGTCTCGCCTCTGCGTTAATGTGCGTGACGTTATACCAACCTCGTTTGACGCGTTAAATCCGTTCTGTACGTCGACTTTATCGCTCGATTGAACCTCCTGTCGGCACAAAAAAATAAAAATAAAGTTGAAGCAAAAAAAAATCGTATCCCCTCAACGTTGATGTGCGTGACGTTATACCAACCTCGTTTGACACGTCAGTTCCGTTCTGTACGTCGATTTTTTCGCTCGATTCAGCCTCCTGTCGGCACAAAAAAATAAAAATAAAGTTGAAGCAAAAAAAAATCGTCTCGCCTCTACGGTGATGTGCGTGACGTTATACCAACCTCGTTTGACACGTCAGTTCCGTTCTGTACGTCGATTTTTTCGCTCGATTCAGCCTCCTGTTAGAACACAAATATAAAAATAAAGTTAAAGCAAAAAAAAATCGTCTCGCCTCTGCGTTGATGTGCGCGACGTTGTACCAACCTCGTTTGGTGGGTCAGTTCCGTTCTGTTCGTCGATTTTTTTGCTTGATTCAACCTCCTGTTGGCACAAAAAAAAAAATAAGTTGAAGAAAAAAAAATCGTCTCGTCTCTGCGTTGATGTGCGTGATGTTATACCAACCTCGTTTGACGCGTCAATTCCGTTCTGTACGTCGACTTTATCGCTCGATTCAGCCTCCTGTTCGAACACAAATATTAAAAAAAAGTTAAAGCAAATAAAAATCGTCTCGCCTCTGCGTTGATGTGCGCGACGTTGTACCAACCTCGTTTGACACGTCAGTTCCGTTCTGTTCGGCGATTTCTTCGCTCGATTCAGCCTCCTGTTGGCACAAAAAAATAAAAATAAAGTAGAAGCAAAAAAAATTGTCTCGCCTCTACGGTGATGTGCGTGATGTTATATCAACCTCGATTGCCGCGTCAATTTCGTTCTGTTCAGCAATTTTTCGCTCGATTCACCCTTACGTAGGCTCAAAAAAATGAAGTTGGAGCTAATAAAATCGTTTCGCCTCTACGGTGATGGGCTCGATTACTTTGCACGTTATAATACCAACCTCGATTTTTTTCTTCTCTTCCTCCTGCCACCATGCATACAAAAGCTTCTTCTTCGGCATCATATTTTTGTCTGCTATTTTTTGATTATCGTAATTGTAATAACTGATTGACACGAATTAAATGTTTTAACGCCTGAAATAATTACATGCGACCGTCGTTTTTCAGCTCGGATCATTGACTACTATCGCTGGTGAGAGAGGCTGTGCTGTCAACAAACCAATTCTATCGGTGGAACAAGCGATTCAATAACAACAAGACTCGCGTTACAAGGATGGAATCAATAATTTTATCCAATTTTAAGTTTCATTAGTCGAGAAAGTTTTGTACTTATTTTTTCGAATAGCGTTACAAACGTAAAAATAAGAAAAACGCACTGCCCTTAAAAAAAAAAAAAATTTGTAAAATCAGACATTATAGTGAAAGTAAACGTTCGCTGAATTTCGTGATCGAGGTTCTGTTCCGTTTTATTTCGCATAACTGCACACAAAATGCAAATTATTAAAATCAACCATCGCCGCCACTACATGGCGAGTACAATCCACCTGTTAATCTGCAAGTGGCAAAGTCAAAATAATTATAACTATGACACACATTTTTTTAATCTACTTGTCCTTTCGTTTTAATGGACAATTATTGCCTAACTTTTACTGAAAAAACTTTGTGCAAATGCGAACTTAACGAAAGTTTACTGTTTGAATGAAAAATTTGATGATAATGATTAGTAATTTTTTAATGAGAACATTATAACGCAATGCCCGATCGGGGATAGTTAATATTACATGTTGAATAACTTATTACAAATAAGTTTGAATTTCGGCAAAGTATTGTATTGTTTTCACGATGATAATATATTAGAATTTTTATTAGCAACAACAGAACTTCAATATCAACGTGACTGATTCATTGTAATATTTTACGATTCGATTATAATTAATATTAAAGCATCAAAATAATTGTCGAAAAGTACATTCAATTATTTGCTCTCTTGTGACCTACATTGATTTTTTCAGGGTAGTTTACAACGTCTACGATGATAATTCATTAAAATATTAAAATATAAAAGTAATCGTCAAAGATGCATTGTATGCATATTGTTTGACCAATAACCATGAAACAACTCTTATTATAAAGAGCAATTTATTATGTACATATTTCGTTCTGATGCATTGTTCAAAAGATAATCATGTCTAAAAAAGGCAAGAATCAAAATTTTCACTGGTAATACATTATTACTTTCGTTCATGTATATTCAGACTTTCAGTACGAAACATCACTTTGCGTGCCTAGAGAATTAATGGAATTAAAGGAAGTAATATTAACAGTTGTATTTTCGTGTTGTCTTGAAGATGCAGGTTGAGAGAGAGAGAGAGAGGGGGGGGGGGGGGGGAAAGAGCTAATAAAGATGCCAAATTAAACGAATTATGCATTCGTCAGCTCTTATTTTTTATAGTGCATGAACCCTATCAATAAAATGTATTGCACAGGCAGAGATATAATTCGTCGAGCGAGAAACATGATCGATCTCGTTCGCGAGCGTGCGGAAAAATGGATTCGCGATGAACTGGTTTTCGAGCTTTCGAAATAAAGTCTCGATCTTTGTGGAGTACAACGACGCAACAACTGCAACCGTACACCGCCGCGCCACTGCGCACGAGAGCTCGACCGACGTATTGTGCGTGTGCGTGACTGTATTCGTTTGCATAGGTCGATAAATTCAGTAAAATTGTCAAGCTACGCAACGCGCGGATCGAAAATAGTTTGTCACTCGTAGCCGCAGTCACGAGTTTACTGTTAAGAGACCGAAAAAAAAGCTCTCGCAGCTACATAGCATGTATGAACGTTCCTTGCGTCCTTGGCAATGGTCTTGGTGCTCCGTCCCCTTTCGCGTACAGATACATATATACACACGTCTAGTACTGCACAAAGCCGTGATGCTGTTGCGCTGCGTGTGCAGTTAAAATAGTGTAATGTTTATATATAAGAGAGTAGATAGAGGCCATCGTCGCTCGAACGGTGGCACAAGTGCCCCGCTCTTGGATAGTGCGCGCGAGCGACTTAACGGTAAATCAGGATCGCGATATTGCCCTCTCGTCGTGGCAGTCGTCGTCGTCGTGGCACGCGAGAAAGAGAGAGAGAGAGAGTAATGTATCTATATAGTTGCTGCTGCTGCAGCCTCGCGCCCTATAATTTGCGGTCACAGTCGAGGATCTCGCACTTGTCTCGCTATTTACCGCTATTAGCCTTGGCGATACATTGATTTTTCTATACTTATAAAATAAAGCTCTCCTATATACGCTTCTGGCAGCAACAGCAGCAGCATTGGTGGCGGCTCTCTAGATTCCCTCTTTTATATTTCCTTATAATCCTTTTTCTATTTCGACATCGCGCGCGCGCGCATCGGGGCTTTATATATATACGTATCGCTCGGAATGCTCGCCACGGGATTAATGTGCAGGCGCAACTGGTCCGATAAAGTCGCACGCGCCCCGACGAATGAAAATTAAATCGATTCGAATTCGTTCGTGAGCTACGCTGCGCTGCATGTATACGTACGCGCATGCCGATCGCAAATAAGGGGGGAAAAGACTCGATCCGGTATCGCGGCGACAAAAGTCGAGTACATACAGTTGTATCTGCATGCGGAGACTGCGCGTGTTTTGATTATATACGGATTATGCGGATTATCTGATGAATGGGTGTGTTTGTGCGAGTGAGTAAAGGCTCTAATCCGCCAACCGCATCTTGACAAGTTTATTAGGCCATTTATGGGTTCGACGCAATCTCGCGCGCCTTTCGAGCGAAATCGTACGCGAATTGATGAAATAATTGTAATTGAGTGCGTTTAGATTATTATGAGACTATTATTTTACGGGCGTCGTTACTTTCTTAACCGCGTATATTAAACGCGTTCGAAACGCTCGTTAAATCCCGAAGGCGGCAATAAAATTTCGATAAAATCGAAAAGCTCGACCACGACGACCGTAATATCGCGAACGCGATTTATCTGTCGCTTTTATCAATGAGCTCGCTAATAACTTTATTCGCTTATTGTCGCGGGAGTCGCGACTGTGGCATTTGAACTTTTACATCCTCGCGGTATACTACGAGATACAGCGCGTGAGAAGAAAATACAATCATAACGTGGCGAGCTTCAAGGTCGCTCGTCAAAAGACAATATAATATCTATATATGATATAAATGTACAAATATGCACGACTGCGATCGGAGCTAATTATTATTACCCGCGTTTGTTTACGTTCTTGTACGCGACCGTATAACGCATTGCGCGGTACGCGCAATTCCACGTGCGACCATTCGATATATACCTGCGCATATCGTCCCCGCGCGAGAAGTATAAAATTTTTTTTTTGCGCTGAAAATCGCACCGTTATAATTCCTCGCGGAGCTCGCAAGAAAACACGAGCCGTTGCACACGCATTGCCGCGTATTATAGCTGCAGCAGCAGCAGCTGCGAGAAAAAAAGAATGAAAGAAAGACAACTACGCGACAACGAGATTGGAATTATATTCGCGCAACAGTTGTTACTTAGTTGTTGTTGTTTCGCGAACTGTTGTTGTCCGCGCCGCGTTCGCTAACTAACTCGGCGAGAGCGTCGAGAGGGAAAAAGTGCATATACCTACGCGGCGGCTGTGCTGCAGCTACGCGCGGCTCATAATACACGCGGCGGTTGTAAACTTCTCCGCATGTGTATACACGCGTTGTTGTACTAGTTGTAAAGTCGCGCGCGCACGGGCTCGCGAGAGTGACTATACAGGCGGGCAAGTAACCTTGAATGAGATTGTGTGTATTGCGCGCAAGTTTTTATTCTCCTCCGCCGGTGCACTTATATTTTGTTTCTTCTGTCCGTCTGCGCGTCTCGTGTGTATGTGTGTGTGTGCACAAGTAGCAGACGCGCAAACGTGTACGTACAAACATTCGCGCATTTTTTTCAGCGATACAAGCTGGGCAGACGAAAAAGAGACAGAGAGAGAGAGAGAGAGAGAGAGATAATAACTGCGATGCAAATTGGTAGCTGTTCCAAGTTCATTCTTGTATGCGTGTGTGTTAGGAAGAAATAGATAATGGGAGGAGGGACGCCGAGAGAGAGAAAAGTAATAGGTATAAATTTGACTTTTTACGACTTCGAGGCTTGAATTGTAATCGGCCTTATATCTATACGCTACCAATGAAAACGTTAAATTTGTTTTATTTCCGCGTGCACGTGCGTAGCGTATGCGTGTATCCACGTACTTATTTACGAGATGCAATTTTGCAATATTCGGAGTATACTTATTTTCAAGACTTTAAAGTGCAATAATAAAATCATTGATGTTAACGACTCGTATGCAGAGCGCAAAAGCGCAAGAAACAGAGAGTGATAAAAATATTGCACGGGACGGCGGCGATGAGAATGCGATAAAATTCATAAAATAATTCAGTGATTCGAGAGGGTGGTAATTCAATGAAGCAGCGGCCGTTGTTGCCAGGATTCTTGTAATAAGCAAAATCTGCACCGAATAATAAAACGTGTTTTTGCGCTTTAAAGCTCGCTGCGCGGACGAATGAATTATATTGCACGATGTATATAATGCAGATGCACCGACGATACAATCGCATTATTCTATTTCCGTATTTCAAATCGGATTATCCATTGAATTTTAATGGGTTGGTATTACAAAAACTACGAATAAAAGCTGTGCGCACGAAATTAGAGCATGTATTTAGGTGAGAATTTTAACGTCTCTACCTTGAGCATTTAAATAAATCTGTTGTAAAGCAGCTTTCAAGAGAATTACGATAAGTTCACTCTTGATTTTCAAATAGAAAAAAGGTTGCAATGATATCAACTTAAACAAATTCTTGAAGAAATTTGTACAAAATGGTAAGACAAATGACATTTAGTTTAGTAAAAAACGTTCGTACTTTTGAAAGCGTAGCTCTTAAACTTGGTTTACACCGCAATATCATAGAAAATTGAAATAAATAAGTATTTAATTGCAGCAACACTAGTCACATGAAAATCGTTTTGCTTCGCACAAGTATATGATACACAGGCGCTGAAAAATAGCAGGATTATTACAGAATAAACGCGCTGCGCTCGCGATATATCTCATTCGCACATACCGACGAATTAATCAATGACACGGCCGTACATATACGTACGCATATTACTTGCTATACTGAGCCGTGCCGCTGCCGCCGCAATCAGATCCGCATC